GCTGACAAAACTGTCAGAAAACCTCTATCACAAGATACCATCGACAATAAAACCTGTACAGCTAAAAATCCGAATTAAAACACTTTGGTTCGTTAATACAAAAGATATTTAAAATCGATGAGTTTGTAAACATATTAGAACCAGACGACCAGCAGAGTGTGTCTAAAGATGCAAAAAGCAAGGAGGACGAATTGAAGCTGCCTTCCCGTGTGCTTGGTACCATAAATGCAGTTTGTAAACGGAAACCTGTTTAATGTATGTTACAGTGTATCTTCTCTTCAGAGGCCATGTGCCAAGGCAGCGCCTCTATCTCTTTTTATTCCCCAAGTGTGGTGCTCACATTATCTAGGATTCCCTCGAATGAGACTGTTCCCTCTACTGTGGCAGTCTTGGTGCACTGTTTCTGCAGGGCAGAGGTGGCAGAGGAACAAGAGGAGAGCATTCGATGACATCCAGACTGCAGGCCGTGGGAGCTATCTGTTTATTGATTTATTTCTAATCATTGGGCCTGGGCTCACAGTTCGTGGGAGAAGCCTCTCCCGGGAAAGGTGACGGAGAGTTACTGGGAGGAGACGGCATGCCACTGGCCCCCGAGCTTTGACACACGTACCATTCGCTCAGGTTAGCTGCAGTTTGAGACGATGCTACTGGCTCTGCGTGGGAACAGGAAGCAGGAGGGTCCCGGCCGGAGTCCGAGGAGGGAGACACCAGGGAAGGTGTGGAGGACTCGTAGCCTGAACTCGGAGGAGGGGATTTGCAGTGCACTTTCATGTGTTTCCTCAAGGAACTGGGGTGGGTGTAGGACTTGTCGCAGCCTCTCACTTTGCAGTTGTAAGGTTTGTCGCTGGTGTGCACGTGAGAGTGCTTCTTCCTGTCACTGCTGTTGGCAAATCGTCTGTCACAGCCTTCGAATTCACATTTGAATGGTTTTTCTCCTGAAAGAATGCAATTAACGAGTACATACATTAGTAAAATGGGTGATGGTGTTGGGGGAGGAGAAAAGGGGTTCCTTAGGGTTTTAGAACATGAAATCCCTCAGCATGCCCCTGTGATTTAAACCTTCCAAACAGCCTCTCTACACTAATCTCGCATTTCATTGTACATACAAATAAAGAGGTGTGCTTCAAAAAACGATCGGAGCAATATATTCAAATAGAATGTAGCATAGCTGCAAATATTTTTATACTGGAACCTTCCATTCATTCTTTTAAGTTTCTATTCTTTTTCGCACTCACACATACAAACCCCATTTTCACCGAAACGCCAATTCAGTTGTCTTTTCTCCCTTAGTCTAAATTGTTTGTTGAAGTGCGATTTGTGCAAACCACAAAGAAATCGGATACGGTAGTGCCCAAGTATAGTTGCGCGCTCAATGTGTGTTCTGTCTGCCACAATTTAGTGTTACATTGAATTCATCTCCCACACTCCCAGAGATGGAATTTTTGCTCATGGCCTTGCTAAATCCTATGTTATACAGTATATTTTATATTGAGTACGGTCATAGCTAGCGTTTATAAATATAGATTGATTTTTTTTACCGCATGTTATCTTGCCATGTTTAAAGAACCGAGCCATCTTAAAAGCATGTTGACTGTGAAAGCCAATGTGACGTAGCTTCGATGCGAAAATGAGTAGGCCGGTGCCAGTTGCTGTTGTTAGGGTCAAACTCCTTCGCCGTATTAACATATCCAGTAATGGAGGAAATTTACATGAGGATTACATGTGATGAAAATATCAGAAACATACAAGTGTATAGGAGAATACAATCGTGCGGGTTGAGTACTGTGAGAGGTTAACCCTACGGCTTCCCATTCTTAGGCAGAGTGCATGATATATGAGGCGTACTTTCAAGGAAATGCCCCAAAGAGACTTTCAGTATTAAATTATATTAGTTCTCAATGGATTGTTCTACCTAATAATACACAACTGCGAAACGTGTATTCAAAGGAGTACGAGCTTCCTATTATCCGAGGGATGGGGATATTGTTTTTAAATAACATTACATTATTTAGTTTGCAAAAGAAGCCCAAAAATATAACTCTGAACTTATTTGGATTGGATGTGCAAACAAAGCCCCTTTGCACACCATCATGGCGTACTTGATCAATTTTTGCGCGTTTTAATGACGAATTTATGAATGGTGAAACGCTTATTATATTTCCTTTTTTACACAGAACACGCTTTCATGCTTCAAATATCAATATGTTAAATATTTAATGCTCTGCCAACTGCACTTTATAAGAGTGGGCGGGGGAAGCCCCATTTTTAAAGCCAGTCTCTTTCAGGAACTTTAAAACCAGTACTCAAGCACGAGCTCTCACATAGTATGGCACTAACCTTTGAATAGAAAACTAGCAGGTATATGGCATAGTTATACAAGTTCTAAAAAAAAAAAAGCCAAAACCAAGATCTCTGACGAAATGATGCTACTCAGGCCCTGCAGCAAAGTATTTTCTCGCTGTAAGTGTATGTGTATAGTTGAACTACAGTTTCACCTAAGGAATCCGTTTGACCTTCAGCATCTTGATCTGCGACAACAAATCAAGGATATTAGTGTAGTACAAGCAAGCAGTAAGTTAAGAGACCCCAGGGAAAGAATCCTCATAAACATCGTGATTGTGCAAAGTGAGTTACATTCAGGTAAAACCGGGCTGCTTCTGATCCTCATTTCTCAAGTGCTGAAAAATGTTTAACTTCGCTTAACCTCTCTGATATAGTAATTAAAAAGTCCTCTCGTGCAATCAGGTATCAACTCAGATTGAAAAGGGCAACGTTTTCTCATCTGTCTGGTTTGCATTCTTTGAATGCCTCAGTAACTAGGAGCAATGCGAATATTTTTAAGTGGGTCCTTTCTAAAGAGAAGGTTTTTCAATGTGTAAATATGTATACTCTAGGAAAAGACCATTTTAAACGTCCTGCATTCGGAAGCCTACAGTTAAAAAGTTATAAAGACTATAGAGAAGCGAGGGGTTTAAACCGCCATTTTAAAACCACACTTGTAGCTGTGCAAAACTGATCTGTGAAATTCAGTTTGGAGTTTTTGACATAATTCCCCAACTCTGAAAGTGGATTAAGGTGTTTACAAGTTCCTCACGGGGAAGGTTGCAGCATAAAACTGTGCATATTAGCTCAATAAGTTAAAAGTCAAAATGCATGGAAACAGTTTCCAACCTCACACATTTCACTATAGTTTCTGGCCATTTTAAAGGAAAAGGAAGTTAATTTCTTTTATTTCTACCTGTTCCCTGTTATTGTAAATTAAATACTAAATATATTTTAATCGTGAAAATCCCCAAATCGCAGGAAATCCACTCATTTTCCCAGCTTCCCAGACCCATGAAAATTCAATCATTAATATTTGAGCAGGCAATTATTTTCCTGTTGAATTCAGAACTGTCTTCATGAATAATTTGTACAAAGTTCTATTACGGTTTCAGAAACATTTTGTTTTTGACAACTTCTGGGTGTTTAATAGAAACGACTGAACCATAAAGGCCCTGCAGGATTTTTCCAAATGTAGCAATTAGGGAAAGGGAAAAGTATACACGTACAAAATTATAATTAATAAACCCAAACTTACGAGCTCTCTTAAATCCTGAACCTGCTTCTCTGATGTAGGTCAGTTTTCCTAAGAATTTAACCATTTTCTGCTTCACAGACTTCAAACAGTGAGGCCGTTAAAGAGCAGTAAAAGTTTGTTTACTTAAGAAAAACACTGTCATTAAGGGATGAGCTATCCAGTTTAATGGTTCTACCTGTTCTGAACTAACAAGATGGCCTAAGTATCGTTTATATTACGTGGAGGTCTTTTTTACTTAAAAATAAATTAGCGAAAGGTTACTAGACTAATAAAACGTTGGAATAAATATTTAAATTGAGTTGTGGAAAAATACTATGTAATTAATTATGGCTACTGTAGTGCTATATTTAGAATACATTGTAACAAAATCAGTATGTTTCTCACGCATCTTGTACCTCGTTGAGCAATAGCACAAAAATGCAACTGCACCAGGGTCAAGGCAAACACCGACCGTGTGGGAGGGGGAGTTTTATGAACGGGAGGGAGAAAAAATCGTTTAGCTATAAACAGATCTTACAAAAGGATTATGCAGTTTCTCTTGCAGTGCATAGGGCTGTACAGAAGGGGTGGAAGGTGGAAACCCCTATACTGGAACAGATTTAATTTTCCGAAAAGGGCTTATTTCTTATCTTCTTCAGAAAAAAAGCGCTGGAGACTACAGACACCGACTGCTAAACTAATTAATACAACTTCACAGGCTGCTTCTGTAAGTGTGAAAACTTTCTACGTGCAATTTCATTAATTATAGATTCCTTTCTGGCTGGAAGAGTTCAAACATTGCTTTGCAAAATCTTCCATCGAGTTACTTTCCTTTCTGTGAAGTAGGACTAACGGATGTTCTGACCCGTATCCCAGTTTCACTGAACAGTTTTGCGAATGACATTTCAAAACATACAGGCCGAAACAATACTATTTTTCCTCCCTAGAGTCAGAACTCACAGCCCTCCACATCTGCAAATGCACAGAGACGTTAGATGGTAATGTTCATTTAAAATGTCACTGTTATTCAGATCAAACACTAAAAACTCCATCTGACCAAAACAAAACTGTTGAACGAAAAGGTTGCAGCTGTATTATTCTCACAACGGTAGGGGAAAGAGCATCTCAGCGATATCAGTCAAAACTGACTAGACAAAGCTGTAATTTCTATTGTTCGCTTTTAATTTGTGATCTTGCACAATGATTTCATGTTCCCCAAGTACTTTAAACTGCCATACAAATTCCAATCTGTGTGGATATGAAATATCCATATCTCTCAGTATTTATAAAGATACCGATAGACAAACATATCGGTCTATATAAGTTTTAGAAGTTTCTAAACATAAGTTCTGAGAGTTATTTTTTGCAAATGGAGAAAAAGCAAACAAATCTAATAATGTAATAAACATTAATATTTGGTGTGCATTCAATCTCCATAACGAAACACTTATTAAAGAGCAAGCTGAACAAAATAAAGAAATTAAGGATAGCTTTCCATACTGACCTGTGTGAGTTCTTTTGTGTATTTTGAGATTTTCTGATCTAGCAAACACTTTCCCACAGCCAGGAAAAGGGCAGGGGAAGGGTTTTTCACCTGTGTGGACTCTGATGTGATTTACAAGTTTGTATTTGGCCTTGAAAGGTTTCCCCTCTCTTGGACACTCTTCCCAGTAACATATGTGATTGGACTGCTCGGGTCCTCCAACGTGCTCCACGGTGACATGAGTCACCAGCTCGTGCATTGTAGTGAAAGTTTTCGAGCATAATTTTTTGGGAGTCTGGTCCAACTCAATCCATTTACAGATGAGTTCCTGTTTGATGGGCTGCCTCATGTAACGAAAGAAGGCACCAGGGCCGTGGTGTGGAGCCAGATTCACGTTCAGATTCATGCCACCGTAGCTATGAAGCGAAGAAGCAGCAAAAGGATCGGTCCTGGAGGCTGGTACTTGAGTGAAATGTTCAGACCTGGCGTACATTTCTCCAGGTAACCCCAGTCTTATCTGTCCGTTTAGATGGCCACCTGGAGTTGCATGGGGAAGCTGTTCATGGAGTCCAGAGAATAGCGAATGATTCCCAGCTTCTGAGTGGTGGTGACCATGGTGTCCGGGGTAGCTACCTGTTGTTGAGACAAACATTCCGTGGTGAGAACTTGGAGCAGTGTGTTGCTCAGTTAGCCCTGGCATGACTGGAGCTGTCAGATCTCTGCGTATTAAGAAGTCCCTACCTGCTGAAATAGCCTGGACTGTGCGAGACACTGGGTAAGGGAGTGCTGTTGACTGCGCCGGGCCAAACGTCCCTGTGTGACTCGAGACCACCTCAGCTTGGCCTGCCATATGATGATGATGATGGTGGTGGTACTGGTGGTGAGGATGAGGGGCAGGGCTGAGTTTAAGGGCCGCAGGGTGATGAGGATGATGATGATGATGGTGGTGGTGCCCCATGTGTTCAGGCCGGAATGGACTCGGCCCTAGGCGGCATTCCGCGGCGTACTCCCCAGGGTGCGTGGGAGCCACTGAGTGGGGATGCCCGGCGAAGCCCGGGAAGCCTGTCATGCTCTGAGGGGGGTGGAGATGATGATGGTGGTGAGGAGCCCCTGCCAAGTCTACTAATCTCAGCGCCGTGTTCCGTTTGGAGAGTGCAGCAGGGTCCATCACTGGGCTCCCCAAAGCATCCACGCTCATTAGCTTCTAATTCTAAAAAGTCACCTGACAGCGGGGAGGAGAGAGACAGACAGAGAGAGGCGAAACTTTTTTTTTTTCCAAAGTTTTTTTTTTCTTTTGGCGGGGGGCTGGTTTGGTTTTTGTTTTTGTTTTTTCTTGTTTTCCTGCTCTCTCCCCCCCCCTCCTCCCCTCCCCTTTAATGCCTACGTGGAATCCCATACGCTTGAGAGGCAGCAGCGGGAGGCTGGGAGGCAGCTGAATAGAAATTCAGGGACACGGCTGCAGCCCAGAGAGCGAAACAATCGCCGCGCGCTCTCATTGGCCG